TCCAGAATGTGATGGACTTCAATGCGAAGAGACACGGAGAATCCCGAATCCTGTCCGTCGACTTGCGCAATCAGCCTCCGCGCAGGAGATCATCAGGGCCAAATCACGATTCACGCGTTGAATCGTGGAGATAGCCCCATACATCTGTCGGTGGCATCCCTTCGAGCACTTGGTGCAGCTATCGATTTTTCCGAGGATCTCGTATGCTTCAGAAAAGGTGGACCCCAGCCGTGTCTTGGCCGTGGAAAGGTCTTCTACAGGACATCAGCTTCTACCGCTGACGGAAGATATCAACGCGTTGAAGGTACTTTCTCCCTGTAGTAGTAAACCCCCTTGTCTGTAGACAAGGGGTGGAACACGCGAGCGTGTCTGTGCTCTCTCGAGAGATCCAAAAGAAAATACAGACGGAAAGGTTTGATTTGTTTTGAGAAAATTTTTGATGCATGATTCCTTGCTGACAGTCTTGTTTGTTGCATGCCGGACCAAGGTTGCTGTAGCATGCCTATTTTGAAACTTGTTTCATTTTGGCTTTATAGCTTGAGCGATGTTTCAACTTTGCATGACGAAATTTGAAACTCGCTTTTCGCAATCTCTTTCCAACTTGAACAGTTTTTAACCCTGAGCAAGTTCAGAACCTTTTATCGGGTGGTCGTGAATGCTTGTGAATCCGTGATTTACCCTCTCAAGCATTCGGCGATTGGGCAAGTGCCCAAAATTTTAACGGAGCCTGGAGTCCCTAACAGGTCTTTCGAACTGGGCCTCAACTGGGGTTGCTGACGTTGGGATTAGCCCTCAGTGCAAGCTGCCCGCGGGGTGGCGGATGGTCCTTCGTCTGGCCTCGGCCCAGACTCTTCGGCTCGTGCAGGTCGCTTCCTGCCCGTTCTGAGTTGATTGGGGTGCAGTGTACACGCTCATGAAGCGGTCTGCAGAGCATGCTTACGATCAGCATCTTGATTATGTTCTTCGCAAGCCGAAGAGCAATCGTGTGCAGCCCTGGGAAAGATCACCCATCTTGTATCCATTTCAGATCTTGCAGCATCTTCCCAGGCATCAGGTACAGGGCGGTCACCCTATCGCGTTGCCAGTGCCTGTGCCGAAGCAAGCCCCGGATGCGAATCTTGGTGCATATGTGGGCCCGAAGGCGAAGGAGCCGGGTAAACCTTGGAAGGCCAAACTTTCTGACAGCAGGCTCGCTGCTATTGTCAAGTGGGTTAAGATTGTTGAGGTTCATTCTTCGTCGTTCGACTTGGTGCAAGAAGCAGAGAGCGAGCCGCAACATGGAAATTACAGCCTCCATAACAGTCTCAGTGACATCTTCGCTGTGAAGGCCAGCAGCACTTTGCACAGTCGCTCTGGCCCTCTTTTCAGGTTCTTGAAGTTCTGCCGTGAGGGAGGCCACTCCCCCTTCCCACTACGTGAAGGCCTGATTTATCACTTCTTGAAGGAGTATTGCTCCAAGCAAGCTCCCACGTTTGCTTCGAGCTTTCTGGGATCCCTGGCCTTTTGTCACCACTTGCTGGGCCTGCAGTGCGAGGGCAATGTCTTCACTCCGAGGGCCACCAGGGCCGCTCGAGGATACTTCCTCGAGAAGCGCATGCTTCTGCAAAAGCCTCCGTTGACGGTGTTGATGGTCATTGCACTTGAGAACATTGTATCGGGAAAGGGCGACTTCAGCATGCCTGACCGTTACGCTGCTGGGTGCTTTTTGTTCGCCATTTATGCCCGTGCTAGGTTCAGCGACATGCAGGCCAGTGGTTCGATAATCAAGGACGTGTGTGAGACTGAGGACGGCATCAGGGGTTTCCTTGAGGCCAGTGTTATGCGCACTAAGACTGCGTACATGCTTGAAAGGAAAACGAGGTACCTTGCCATGTGCGCTCCGATTCAAGGGCTAACAGCTTCATCATGGGCTTTGAACTGGTGGGAGATCTCGGTCGCCCATGGGCCTCAGTTGGGGCCTGACATGCCATTGTTGCCTGCGGCTCTCGAGGGCGGCGGGTGGCAGGAGAGTCCTGTCTCGGTTGAGGCTGGGGCGAGATGGTTGCGGAGTTTGCTTTACCGAGCAGGTGAGGACCCCGCTCTCGTACGTCAGCTCGGAACTCATTCTCGCAAAGCAACTATCTTATCGTGGGCTTCGAAATTCGGACTGAGTAAGGAGATCCGAATGATCTTGGGGTACCATAGTTCTTCGAGGTCCGATAGTGATGTGGTTTACGGGAGAGACAACGTGTCACCGGCCTTGCACGCTTTGGATCCAATGCTTGAGGCCATCGCCTTCAAGCGATTCAAGCCGGACTCAACGCGGTCTGGGATGTTCGACGGGGTTCGAGATCCTGGGCCGCCGAAGGCCGAGGATGAAATGTCAGTGAGCTCTGAAGGGAGCGAAGACGAGGAGAACAAGGACCACGCCGCCGAGGATGATGCCGTTGACGCCGTCGTTGGTCCTTGGGAGCCAGTTCCGGGGCTGCGTGAGGCATTGGCTCGGGTTCCAGTCTACCGGCACGGCATCACCGGGTTCCTACATTTGTTGTCTTCCGAAGAGGGGAACACAGGTGCGGGAGAAAGATCTCGAATTCTTACTCTCTGTGCGAGGCTCTCCCAGAAGTCTTGTTTCCAATTTGCAAGCAGTGCTGCCCCGATGTAAAAGCTTTTGAGGAGGCTGGCGACGGACTTGAGAATTTTGGATAATTTTTGTGTCGCAAAGCGACGTCTTGCTGACGAAGCAAGGCGCCGGAAGCTGTGTTGTGTAGACAATGGAGCGCTGCTCGGTTTGCTCGAGGGTTGCGGGGGCTTGCGCTTGATTGAGTTAAGTTGTCCACTCCTTACTTTTGTGTTGGTGCGACAAGATTGATCAGATCTTGAGTCGACCGTTTGCGATCTTGAATCTGGGCCATCTCGCCGCGCGGCACAGCTAGGACGCTAGTTTTCCAAGGAGGGTTTTGAGCTATGGCGGCATCATACTCCGACAGCCGTAGCGTCTTTGATGCCAGGGTGGATTCGTGTGGCCTGCCGCCCGAGGACGCGACCAAAGTCAAGGCTTCAGTGAGCTCGCTGAGACAGCTGGCTTTCATATTCAGCTTCACACCAGGGCAGGCTGATGAGGCTCCGCTTGTGGAATCGCTGAAGAAGATGATCGGCCGAGACCGAGATGCCGAGCTCGCCGTTCAGGCCAGCTTCCGAGCTTTGTGTCACGAGGCATACGCTATAGTGACTTCCGAGATGCGTCAGAAGATCGAGAAGAGCGAGGAGCCCAGTACCAGACGACTTTCTCAACCTGAGAGAGCTGAGAGATATGAAAAGCAATGCAAGAAGCTCGTTGGGCTGTCGATAAACCAGCACGGGTCAACCGGCCTTATATGGCCGAGCGTCCTTATAAACTAAGCGTCCTTATAAATATGCCTTTTGGAAGTATCGCTTCTGCTTCCTGATTTCCGGTGTCGTGATGAAAGTTTCTTCGTGGATTTTGTTGATTTTCGTGTGGCATAAGCAACATTTTGCTCATGATGCTTCAATGATTATGATGATTACAATCAGAATCAACGTGGAATCCTTAACAACTACTAGAGAATATATACGCAATAATAGTATTAGACATGCTCGCTGATATGTCGTTCGCATATTTTGATGTTGCTGCAGCTGTCTGGCCAAATGTCCGAAGACATCGGGCGGAAAGCTCGGCACATAGCGGCCCAGTTGCACTTGACTTGTGTGCGCCCTGATCAAGGCGAAAGGGTTCGCCGGACAGGTTCGCTAGCCCCAAGGGGTTCCCTGAAATACCTGTGTTGCAGACAAGCCTTTGCGTGGTGTGGTGCTGTTCATGAGCCCCGGTACTTTACCAAAACAGCTGTGAATCGTGCGCTAGAACGCCTGCTCGACCACTACAAAGTAGAGGTGCCGTTGTGTCAGGCTGACGGGCTCACTCGAGCAGACTGGCTGAAGAGGCAATCCAAAAAGATACAGCATCTTTGCAAACGGTCTGTTAAGAACTCGTTGGTGCCACCACGTGGCAAAGAAGCCCTTGCAGCCATGGATGATGCGGAAACTCAGCCGTGGAGCACGGAGGACGAATAACTGACATGCATATATAGGATCAGTGACATATACTCTGCTGCAGGAAAGAACTGCAGCGCCGGCTGCACATGATGGTGATCCTCCTCCAGCCACCCGAGAGCAATACACATGACTGCTTCATGCAAGAACTGTCTGCGCGTGCGACCAGATGTAAAAATCAGGTCAGACTTCATCGCAAAAGCGCACTGAAGCGCAAGGCCCAGTGCATGCATGCACCCATTATATAGCATGTGTACTTAATTATGTACCAGCACTTATCTACATACGGCGCTACAAACGAGAAAAACTAGACGACACAGCAAGCAAGAACTTAGTTCGGACACGAGGTGGAAATTAGAAAGGAGTGTATACATACGTGTAGAGATCCAGAAATAGCTTGCATCGCCTCTAAATTAGGCCCTAATTTCAAGCCTGGCCTGCAAACGCTAATCGGAAACCCTGAAGCAGGTCATGTGTGCATCCAGTCTTGTGCCTGCAGTCAGATTGCATGCATGCGGTCTGAACTTGTAAAGTCATTTTTGCACCGTCGCCCAAATGATCCATGAACGCAGGCTGCGTCGGCTGAATCGGTGGCTACCTTGGATGCACCCACGAGGGTCTGGGGTGACTGGAACGATGATGAGGATGCTGAGTACAAGGCCAGTTGTGCTACAGCCTATATAGATCACCAATGAAAACTACACTGCTATGTGCACGCAGGCTCTTTGCGATGATTCATGGATGTCTGGGCACCTGCAGGCTTGCATTCGTATACACATGTACATACCACGCATGCACCCACATGATTGATAGTCATTTCTGCGATTCTCAAGGAGTCCGGGGACGATGCACTGCACCACCCTGCAGGCAGGTTTTTATTGCGGTGATCTTTTAATTCCGTGCGTATAATCTGATGTGTGGATCACACGCAGGGGAATGGGGTGACGATGATGGCCAAGCCGAGTCTTGGGTCGCAGACGCTGACCCAGAGAATCCATGGTCTACCGGCGTCTACCGGTGATCAGGATGACACGTGGGCCGAGGCTTCTGCAGATTCAGATCCCAAGAATCCGTGGCCTGCTGATGAAGGCTGGGATAACACGTGGGTCGAGGCGTCTGCAGATTCAGATCCCCAGAATCCGTGGCCTGCTGCCAGACAGCAATGAGTTAAGCAGTTCGGGATGTAGAGGTACGGGTTCATGACAGATCAGTTCGTAGCAGCCGAATTGAGGCTGAGAAGAAGCCAGCTTTGCATCGAAGTATCTCCTGGCGTGATGAGAATGGATCCTCGTTGGAGTTGCCAGCTGCCAAACAGCAATAGATTGTCAATATTGCAGTAGATTGATGGTTTTCCAATTCAATAGATCAGCAGCAGTACTAGCACTGCCGAAGGATGTGGCTATGGATCCTGGCCAGACAGAGCCGCTCGGAAATTTTGCTGTTGTCAGTGCGACGACACATATACTGCATGATCTAAGGGAGTGGCCGATGGATGAGAACGAGCACCAAGATGATCAGGCCATCAACCGCATATAGCATTAATTAGCAACATGCCGGTGTCGATCTGCAGTTACATGAATTCGAGCAGGAGCATCTGATCAGCAGTGTTGGGTCTAGGGCATCGGCGCAGCAGCAGTAGCAGTAGTAGTGGGAAGGATTTCCCGGACCCCACCAACGACGAGATCTACGAGAGCTTCATCGAGACCATGGGCGTCGACTTGGACGAGGAGGCTCGACTGCACACGCCTAGCTTCCGCACAAACAATACAATTGCCGTTGATTTGGTGCAGGAGCAACCTGAGCAACCCGGCGACGGGCAGAATGATGATTTGGTCAATCACGACATGCAGGAGGCCAAGGAGGCGCATGCCACCGAATCGAGTGATCCACATGCATATGCGCATGCAGGTTAGCTGTGTGTGTATATACTGGTTTGTATAGGTTCACGTGCCGGGTACATGTATCATGTCGATGTAAATATAGGCAGCGAAAGACAAGACCCGACTCACGACGGAGCCAGAGTCTGGTCAGCTTTGGACATGGATGTCTTTATATGGAAGGGAGTGACAGACATAGACGAGAGAGAGAGAGAGAGAGAGAGAGAGAGAGAGAGAGAGAGAGAGAGAGAGAGAGAGAGAGAGAGAGAGAGAGAGAGAGAGAGAGAGAGAGAGAGACAGAGACAGAGAAACAGAGAGTCCAAGGAGCCGGTACATCCATTTCCTGGCAAGCCGGATCTTTCGACCCGGCCGATCAATCCCCATGCCCAGAGGCTGGTGCTGGCCAGCAAGCAGCCAGTGGAGTATCAGAAGCCGAAGCCCAAAGGAAGCCCAAAGAGCAAAGCAAAGGCCAAAGCAAAGGCGAAAGCAAAGACCAGCACCCCCAAGAAACCAAAAGCAAAGGCCAAAGCAAAGACCAGACCAGATGGAAGCGTAACCCCCTACACAGCCGCTTTTGAGTCGTTCAAGGAACAGCCACCAAGCCGCACATAGATGCTCAAACGATGTCGCTTCAAATCGTTTCGTGGATTCGCAATCATGGTGTAGCTTCGAGAATGAGGCTTTTGGAGACCGAGCCGGACCTCAAGTTGAAGAACGTGAGGGATCGGTGCATTGTCGGCTTATACACGTGTGCTGCCATTCCTGCTCTTGCGTGCTTATTATAGACGAAGCATCCAAGGTGGTGGGTATCCGATGAGCGTACGACTGTCCTCTCCACCATTCCGGTTAAGGAGCAGAAGAAGCGCCGCTATATCTAGAATCTAGATGAGATGACGAGTTGCATGGGGCAGGCTTAAATTTTGATGCACTGGTAATCCGTCGATCTTCAATCCTGCTTTGGCATTGCAAGTAACACTCTTTCATTGCGACCTCAAGCCGCCTGTGTGTCGTCACATTTTGTTCCGGTCACGAACGACTGCGAGACATCTTTCAAGTAGATCACACAGCTGCCGGGGGTTAGGCGAAACAGTGAGCGACTCCGATATATTGTCATGATCCTTCGAATCAGGCGTCGATCGGCATGCATCCAAAGCTTGTGTCCATGCATGTGTGCATGCAGTCCGTATATTTCGCAAGCTAGATGCACCAGCCTGCCTGCATGTGTGCACGGTCTCCTGTAACTAGGTCAGGCACGCTTTCTGAAACTAGCACACCAGTGCCCAGCTTTACATTGTGAACGCTTCAAGTCGGCAAGCATGCGGTACTCCGTGCTGGCCTACATCCTCACGAGCCTGAATGCGAGCCAGATACCCAGCTGCTCCACATCAGCACTGCAAGTCGATGCCAGTTATACACGAACCTGCATGCAGGTTTGCCATTGGAGACAGACAAGTATGTCCACCTGGTGGAGTTTTTTGCGGGCCTCTTGCCTGCATGCGACACAAACCAAACAAACCCTTTCAACTACGCAGTCCGGCACATATATGTGAGGAACTGGAACACTGGCGGCTGCTGCTACATCATTGGGCCTGGCTTCGAGGACTTACGATGTGTCGTTTCGGCATTGTACACGCTGCGGTTGAGTTGTTCGAAACTAAGTGTGCTCCACAGTTTCTATATACTCATTGCACACACGTGTCCGAGGTGATCGAATCCCAACAAATGGATCTCTGCAGTGGCTTCGGCTTTCTACTGGCATTGAACCTCGACGCTCAGCTTCCAAAGCTTACGGAAAATGCAGCAAAAGACCGAACACCGAAACTATATATCTAAGGTTCGCCACACCATCGAAGGCGGCCTCGTCTTCTTTGCCATTCCCTGCGCGAGTTGGGTCTTCATGTGGTAACCTCAGATCACGCAGTCTTAACTCTACATAGGGGCGGGCTTTGTTTGGAGAATACAGCTACATGCGGGTTTGGGCTAATGGAACAGTTAGTTCCTTGGGTTAAGAAGTCGGAGCTTTACTGTATGTGTGTACGAATTAGGTCTCAATTCTGGTGCTTCCTGACTTTTGTGGGGCTTTGAAGGGGTCGTGTCAGTTCTTGGAAGACTGGTACATTAGAGGGTTGTACTCTGGGATTGTTGCAGGGCTTTGGGCTTGTAACTAAGTCGCAATTGTATGTTCTGACACCTTCTGCTGTTTTCCGGGGGTTGATTGTATATATAGGGCGCACTAACCGCAACAGGTTTCGGGTTTATAGGGCTGCAGGAGTTTAGGGGTGCGGGGGTTTAGGGTTGGGTGCACGGGTTTATAGGGGTCCCGGGCTTCGGGTTTAGATCTTATAGGATCCTGTAGGGTTCAATTACTGCAGGACCATGTATCAAGGCTTCGAGTCAGAATAAGGGTTATGCAGGCCCTGGCTAGTGTATCTTTTGATTGAGTTCATTGTTGGGCTTGAGGGTGTGTGTGTGTGTGCATGATATTGAAAATTCAAGGGTGTGGGAACACGTGCCACATAGGCTTAGTCACATGACGGCAAACACATGCTATCTGAGTTTCCAATCAGGGCTATTGGGAAAAGCGGTGGCTGTACGAGGTTTACATGGTTGACGTATAGGATATTGGGCATCATCTGGTACAACAGCGACGGTGTTGGGGTTCTGCTTTTAGTTAATATGCTCTTCGGGGAAGCATGCATGTGCATAGATCATCGAAAACGTCAGATTCTGAGGTCCTATCTAGGATTTGGGTTGTTCGAGACTAGGGCTGGAGGGATCCACCGGCGGCCGGGGTTGAAACAGCCGGGAACCCCGAAGTCAACATAATGAACGGTAATTGAAGGTCCTAGACATGTGCGATTTTAGCAGCACTCGGCAGCTCACAAAGCAACATCGTACTGCGGCACACTCGAGCTACCATTATGCACTGTACGCAACGCTATTGCAGCTACGTGCAACACTGTGCGCAACGCTATCGCCCTACAGCCGCAGAGTTACCTGAGCACGCATGTAACGTTTGGCCGGCTGCTGCTATCTGACTTAAGAATGAAGGAAGCTACGTGATGAGCTCATTCTGTGACGAGCTCCGGCAATAAAGCCGCACAGAGGGTGCTGATTCATTAGCTCATGGCCATGTGCCGCGGTTGTGCAATCTGTCTTGATGAGACGATGAGGCATGACGACTTCTTTTTTTGGGGTTCTATGGGTAGTATATACTTCGGGGCATTGGGATGCGGGTGCACGGACGACTAGCTGAGTGCATGGCCGGTCAACACTTTGCAGTATCTTGAATGATTCCCGGGTTGCCAAGAGATCGTCCATGCTATGTTCTTCATGGTTGCCGCGGGATCTGCGAGTAATGACGGACGACTTATGATTTATACGTGCAACACTGCTAGTGCAGCAAAGCCCTCAGCAAATCAAGATGGGAAGACCGATTCCGCTTTGCATGGCATTGGTTGAGCGATGTGCGAAGACAAACAAGGACGGACGAAGGCGACTGATCATGAACGCATCCGGATTGCGATTTGAAAACATGTTCTTAATTGCTGCGTCACTGCATGGCAAGCATGAAGATCTCGCGATTCCGAGCATGTTCCATGGCCGACTGCATGGCATGACCGCATTCGCTTGCCGTTGAATGTCGCATGAGGCGCATATATTGTCACTCGCGCGACCGCAACACATATTTTTGTACAATGCGTCTATCTTGGAGAGAGACATAATGCGAACGGACTGCGATGCCTTGTCAAGTTCTAAGGTGTCACTATAAGAGCTGTGAGCATGACCGTGTAAAGTGCAAGAGAAGGGGGCACGCTACGCGTCCCTCGACTCAAAGGGGCACGCTACGCGTCCCTCGTCTTTACCTTTCTATGTGACCGCCCACGCAACGTTTGGCTCAAGTCAATGCCCATAGCTAAGTGCTATAAGTGTCTTCTATCCTGAGCAATCAGAGCTACCCCGTTGCACAGACGAACCGCCGCCGGCAGTGAGTGCAAAAGGAACGGCCGCCGGTTCTGCCTGCATAGGATTGCACGTGTGGAAGTGAGAGAGAGACAGGGTCCAGTCTGTGGAGAGTGCAAGCCAGCCACACCTACATTCATTACAGCTCTGGTGGGGAGAGCAGCAAACTAGTCGAGATCAATCCCCCACGCAGGTTATCAGCCGTACGCGGCTCTGCCTTTCTACAGCAACGACTACTTGATCTACTACGACCACAATGAACTCGGGATCAAGCCAAGATACGACAATGACTTTCGGTACCGATGTGGCAGCGCCAGCCGTTGGTGAGTCAACAGCTGACGACACAGTGGTGCAATCCGTTGATAGCTCCACGGAAGATGACAAAGGTCAATCTTCTGCGCTTGCCATTGCAAAGGCAGTTCCCAAGGTGAAAGCAAAGAGTCTACCAAGGGCATCTACGCCTTCGCGTCCGACATCCACAGGTTCGAGGACGGGCAAGGCTCCCGAACGACGAGCCGAAGCGTCTGGTTTTCAGGCACCTCGGACTACGTCCAGGGCCAAGGACAAAGGAGTGAAGACCTTGGAAAAGAAGTCAAGACCATCATCTTCGAGAAGCTCTTCAGCACGATCAAGGACTTCGGTTACTCGTGGGCGTGACAAGTCCATGACTTGGAATCGGATGGTTACCAACCAACCACGCGATGCTGACGATCTGGACATGACTCTGGATACTATCCCAGCACGTGGTGATGCGTCATCGGTGGCCACGCCAGCCATAGCCGATGGTCCGAATGCTTATCAGGAGCTGACGATTTCGCAACAGTTCGAAGCATCGAACCTTGCGCAGCAGATGTATTATCGCAGTCAAATGCAAGAGTACGAAGGAGTCGTCCAGACCCTGATGGACAAGATCAAGGAGATGCAACAAGAAGATGAAGGATCTGGAATTCGCATCGAAGAATTGGAACGACAACGTGACCATGCATGCTTAGCCATGAGGCACATAAACAATGTCAATCAGGAGATGAAGCGAGACTATGAAACAGCTTTGTTTCGCATGGATGAACAGAACT